AGCAGGGACTGCCATATCAATAAGGAGGCATCGTTTTTGTTTGTTGTCTTTAATAAGAATATCTATATTATTAATATCTATTAATATTATTATTATTAATATCTATCTATTAATATCTAATATTATTATTATTATTATTATAATTACCATTTTGTTATCATTATTATTATTATTATTATTATTTTTCTGGACACACTACCTACCAAGTTTAAATTTCATGTTAATTTTTTTTTTTTTTTTTTTTTTTTATCTCCGATGAAGTTGCTAGCGTTACATAGACAAAGTTCTCCTTAGTGTGTGTGCTGTACTTAATAAGACAATTTTCTGTATGTCTCTTAAGCTGGGGTTTCAGGGATTCTTTCAATGTGTTGTTTTGTTCCAGAAATACCACTGGTATTATTCTTGTTTTCAATTTCCACATTTTTTCTATTTCAATTTCCAGGTCTTTGTACAATAGTTTTCAAAAAAAACAATCATGGACAAGATATCAATTAGTAGGCAAGCCTTTCTGGTTTTTACAATAATGTCCGGCCTATTTGCTTCAATTTTTCTGTCTGTACTGGATGGTATAATCCCATAGAATGGTGACATCTTCTATTTCTGTAACCGGCGCTGGCCGATGTTCATACCAGTGTTTTTACACATTTTTCAAAGTGTTTGCACATTGTCAGTGTAACAACTCTATCGTGACGATTTTTATATTCATTTCAAAGTATAGAACATCCATTGATGGTCTATTGTTTCTTGGACACAGAACCTGCATTTTGGATCCACATTATTATGTATGATATGAAAATTCACTCTGGGAGGCATCGAATTTCAGTTTCAGACTTTAATCCAGATGCTCTTAACCATCGAAGAATATCTTTATCAACATTGGGTTTATTTGCACGTTCTGGATATTGGCCATGCAGAGGTTTGTCTTGCCAGCGTTGTTTATTAAGGGCTTTATCCTTGGCTTTCTTTTCATATCTTTTTTGCAATAGTTGGTTCTTGGCTTCTGTTTCTATTTTAATCTACTAAATGTAAATGTTTTTGTATTTTGCCTTCTTTTATTATTGAATATTTTTTTCTTTCTGTTTTTCATGTTGTTTCACTAATTTTATCATCAGTCATTTGTTGTTTCCATTAGTTAAGCCAATAGTTGTTGTCTTGTATGACAATTCTAGCTGAATAAGACCTCTTCCACCTTCTTTACGGGGTATGTATAGACGGTCTACATCAGCCTTTGGATGATGCATCTTTACTTAGAAAGAAGCTTTCTTGTTTTTAGAATCCATTTGTCTGATGTCATTTAGAGTCAGTTCAAGATGTTGAAACTATATTGGACCACTGGGATGGCAAGGTTATTAATTGCCATAATTCTGTTCTGAGAATTCAATTCAGTTTTTAATACCAGTCGTACCCTTCTATAGTACTCTTTACGCTTTTCTATTCTTTTCATTTTCTTATGGTGAATTCCTTCCTCTCATTTACACCTAGGTACTTATAAGCTTCTCCTTGTTCTAAATCTTTTATTGTTACCAGGGTCTAAACTAATAGAGGAACTAATCCTTTAGCACATATTGAATTTCATTCAATGTCTTCACTGAAGCATTTACAGTTTGCAGAAGACCTTCCAGCTCATTGTCATTCCTAGCATACAATTTTAAGTCATTAAAATAGATGGTTTATTTTCTTTTGAGCTATTTTTAACCGCATTCTGTCTTGTTAAGTTGGCCAAAATAATAAAGGAGACAAAAGAGTCACCTTGAAATATTCCTCTATTGATGTTTATTTCGCCAGACATAGGTTCCATTTTTATGATTGAGGTTTGTAGTTTTCCATATCGACATACATTGTTTGCTGAAATCTAACGGGTGATCTCATCAAGACTTTAAGATCCAGGAATGTGGTACACTATACTTTTACGATAATCTATCAGGCAATACTAAGATTTTTCCACGGAAAGCCAGGATCATCCTTTAAGTAATTGGTCTTTACATCCGTGCCTCCCCTTTTGTTCAAATGGTTAATTTCTTTCCAAGAAGAAATATGTCTGTTTTGTTAAAATAGATGTTAACAGTTTGTATGTTGTTTAAGTATAATTGGTATAGTTTTTCGGAATATTTGTGTCACTATTTATTCTTTGGTCATCCATGCAGGAATTTTTTTCGGTAACCATTTTTAAGTTCTTTTCTTTTTCGTCGCCAGAAGTTAGGAATTTTATCTATTCCATTTGTTTGGTCCATCTTCTTCTGTGATTCCTCATGTCTGTTCTGGTTTATTTTTCATTCGTTTCTTGCGCAATCCAATCTGCCTCTTCGTTGTGTTCTTTAGGGAAGCCCATATTTTCCCCCAGAACTGTATAACTTCTTCCATTTTAGGGGGACTGTCCCTTCAATTCTTTGTTTACCTATTTCCCTGTAAAATTTCTTTGCATCGGTTTGAAAGATCTTGTTCTGTCTATAGAATCTTGATCTTTTCTCAGCATTCTTTGAGCCTTCATTGTATTGTTTGCTTTATTTTTTTTTCTTTAGTTGATAGGACTTCATTTTCATTCTGATTGTATTTTCTTTCGACTCTTCTGCCTTTTCTAGTTCTTACATTTACTCCTCTTGCTAGTTCATCAGTACTGATAATTCACTTCAAGGTGTTCAATTTCTTTTCTATTTTCTTTTTGGATCTTCATGTCTGTGAGACTGCTTTTTTTTTTTTTGATGTTCAGTTTATTTGTTGCTGCTATTGCTGGTGCATATATTGCTTCATTGAGATTTATATGAGTGTCTTCTTCATCCAGAATCAATTTGAGTGCTGCATTATAGAGCTTAATAGTTTTGAGGTTTGCTTTGTTTTGTAATTTTGGGAGTTGTTCTCGTTCCTCCATTGCAATATTTCTTATATGGCTCATGATTTCATCCTTGGCTTCTTGTATATTAATCTTGTTTTCTGTGAAATAATTCTGTTCGATGAATTTTAACTCGTTTTATTACCGTCTTGTGACTGACTAAGATCATACCTTTCCAACATTTCTAAATTTTCAGCATTATCTTCACAGTGTATTTCGGTTTTTCAATTTGACCTGAGGCTTTTGATGTTATTACTTTTTTTTCCCGATTCGGTTCCTTTTCATGTTTTTGTTGGTTCATCTATTCGCAATTCTTTTTATTTCATTAATTCAAGCCTCTGTCAATCGGTTATTTCGCATGATGTCCCTTCTTACAAGTTTATTTTTGTCTATGTAATTGTTTGCCAACCTTCTCTCGCCAAATGTCATATGTTTGGCAATTTTCTGAGGTTAAAACGCTTCATGGAATGCAGTCATAACAACTTTGTACTCCTCACGAGACCATTTTACACACCTTAAATTTACGGTTATGGATCTAGCTGGAGAATTTACAGGACCATCATTAGGATTATCCTGGTTGTGGGGACCTGAAGATTCATTCTTTGTGTAGGAGTTTGTTCCTATGGCAGATTTTTCGACCTATATGAAGGACGGGCTCCCTGTTTATCCACTGGAAGAGCCATACTGGACGTTTTGTTTCTATTTTTAATTTTCATATTAATGACCCACGAATGACCACGGGTCCAAAAAGTCCACCCAAAGTTG